TAACGAAGAGGCCAATTTGGTACCTCATCGTCTTTACATTCGAGCACGCGGCTTTGACAGACGCACAGCATATATCACGAGCGATGGCTCCTACGAGGATAGCCAGTCTCCTCTAGACCTTGAACGAGCGGGGCTGGCATCTAAAGTGTAGACTATTGGCGGTACATCGGTGTACTCTTCGTGTAGTCATCACTCGAGAAAAAAGTGTTGCGATTTATGTCGAGCTAATACTTGTTAAATCTTAGCGTTATTTATACAAAACTGTAATGTATTCGGACCTACAATAAAATACAAGTCCCTAATGAAAAAATTGTGAGCAGTTCTTGGCCAGGAGATTTCATGAATTTCTACGCTTTTCAAGCAAGGTGCTGAAGACCACCTGCTGCATATTATCACTTGAATTTGCTCCTACGTCTGCGCGGGTAGATAAACTACCTCAATTCTTATGATTCTGACGGATTAAAACGATTTCATCCATACGAATGTGCAGCGGGGCTGCCGTAGCTCTTTGCTTAGAGGAAGCAAAGCTAAGGTCACCTATTATACGCAATCCACTACTTTCAAGTACTAAAGCCTTACCAAGGCAAACGAACACTTTTGCTCAAAACCGAACTGTGTTTAATTGTTTTAGTTGCGCCAGAGCCGCCAAATTTCTTACACCCTAGGTTTTCCTTATTAATTTAGTAATACCTGATTAATATAGCAAAACCTAACTAATATAGAAATATGCATTACTACTGGCAATCCTGCCACGTGTGTAGCGGTGTAGTCACATCCATTGTGTGATTACACTAACTGTGTAATACACATCTATGCTACGATCGCACAAGATTGTGCGACCTGCCATTTCTCACAAGGGCACGTGAAACCCCGTTACAGAATGATCGTTGATTGAGTTTGCTTTGTAGATGACAAGCTTCTTAGGGGTAGACATCCTGGAAGTTTGGCGGCATAATAGCTGACTAATGCATTGAAACGCCCGACCGGTAAGATTGTGAGACGATTCGTCACGCTCAGACCAGAATACTCGACTTTCACGTCTTTAAGGCTCAAGATGCACTCCAATGAAGGAAGAAAGTTGAAAATGTCCACTTTTAGGATCGCGAATCGGAGCTAGCCGTGATGACAAGCTCTGTTCACAGACGAGCGCCTTACACTCGTTTCGCCCTACCAACACTGATGAGTCGGGCAAAGGGCGGATGCACACACGTGAAGTGATTGTGCCTGAATGTGATATATATAGTCGGCAAGCGCTACCATACCTGCAGTCAGTCAAGGCTGAAACTGAATGAGTATATTTGCGAGATGCGCGTATTAACAGCATTTCTGGTATGAACCCTCGTACCTGAACACGTCAAGACAATGATTTTTATGGACGCCTGATGAGTATATAGCTTGTACCCAACCATTCTGGATGCAGAACTCGGCGATTGTGGAGAAGGTAAATATCTCATACCAGAAAATTACAGTTATGGCCAGAACCGCAATCACTTAATGGGATGACAGGAATCGCCATCCTCAGTTATTTAACCAGCAGCTCATCTCGGTCCAACGCCGTAAATATAAGTGTAGCTAGCCATATCAACATACGTTGCTATTGTTGCTGCAAGCCGGTACACACGATACGTGTATGTCAGGCTAGTTGGTAGGAACAGAGAGGCGGAGTTGAAACATTAGCCACGACCACAACCCTAGAAAAGTTGTCTTACCAGAAGAATTGGGGCCGATGCGCAAGCCTTTGTCGGCAATGTGTGCGTCCATGATCATGCAGATTACGGGGAATCGAATGTGGATATTTTCTCGGCAAACACTTGCGAGCAGTGCTCGAGGGTATGCGTTCAAACAAGCTGTTCGCCAAGATACCATTGGCACCGACGAGAATTTTGCCATAGAATGCTTGAAGGGAAGCACGGCTGTTAGAAGTCTTTGCAAAGACCAAGAATATTACAGATTGTCAAGTGATTCTGAATTAAGAAACTTATGAATGACTTGGCCTGGCCAGCCATATGCACAAGTAGCGTACAAATTAAGCCAACATGGTACGGATTCTTACCAATTTTGCAACAATCGGTGTATAACTATTGCGTGAAGCATAGCCATTCAAGACTGTGAGATAATTCGTGATGAAATACGTATAATTTATGGTCCATAAAGATTTTGCGGATTATCGGACTCAAAAGCAAAGCTCATCAATGCCAAAGTACCGATAGTAATAATAAGTGTGAAGGGAGTCTGTAAATGAGATGTCCGTGCGGCGCCTAAGCTGCAAATGTTTTAGACGTGTACGTAGCTTCTGTGCAATGTAGATAGTAAAGGGCATATATCTTATATAAGGTTGAGCTGAATAAGTTTAATATATGTTTCGACTCAATACTGAGTTGCTTTAAGGCGCACAGTTCCGCTCCAGGCTGGAGAGTGCAAAACCATTATCTGTGCGCTTACTAAAGCAAGGTTGTTGGGTCAAATTGTTCTCCGTGCGAGGTATAAAGAAGTTCCATCGCATTATAAGTATATTTGACGAAGAAGGAAAGCGACTCTTTGCGACCAGTGAGACAATGATCTCTGTGGACAACGACCCATGATTTTCACAAAACGTGAATATCAAGAAGCAAAACGGCCCAGGACTTGACAAAAGCACCCTTGATATCAAGAAACTTCATGCCATGAAGCAAAATGTTGGGCTTTCCCAGGAAATGTCGAGGGCATACTTTATCACAGTGAGCTCTATGCCATAATAGTATTGATAGTTACATATGGATAATGTGGACACCAAGGGCAGTTGTCGACCTCAGATTAATAGTAGGAATATTCGTTCCCAACACACTCGCCATAGAAGTGTGTGATGATCAGAGATAACGCGGATTCCGACATGCTCTAATTGGATAAAGAAGCGATAACTCAGTACTTAGCAGATTTTGCTGCGTATAAGCAAAGATTATTGGGATTATGTGTATTGCGGTTTCACGTGGCCTGGTAAGAAGGGTATGGGTCACACAAAATTGTGAGATCACACTATTTTGTGGGCTACACAAGATGGTGCGACTACGCTTCAACGAGATGTCAGTACGTGGCTGGACTGAAAGTAAATTTACAGTTATAATTTTAATAGGAAGACCTATAGATTACCGCAAATAAATCCGAGAAACACGGTTTAAGTTTTAGACAAAAGGGGTAAATTAGCCTCGGGTTAGGGTTGTAATTCTTTTTGGAGTAAGTGAATTGCGATCCGTTAGACTCGTATTGACTATGAAAATAACGAATGTCATCAACCTTAACCAAGATTCGTTAAGCGAAAAAGCTACGACAGCTCCGCTGTACTTGGTAAAACTTGTAGTCAATCTCCACCTGAGTCGTTATGATTAATTTTTGTGAGGATGGAGCAGTGCTTTTATTTTCCCCAGGGCATGCAGGGCGGGCTAAAAAGGCTGATGTCTCTGCTTGGCCCTGCGTGCGCGCAACACCTCGGTTCGCAAGGATCTGATGCGATAAGCGCGCGCCTAGAGGCAATTTCAAGTTATGAAAATTCGCTACTAGAGCACCTGCAGCAGAAGATTTCGGTGTCGACTACATTCATGATGCCACCGTCGACGACGGATGACTCCCCAGGACCCGAACCGCTCATGCTGAGTGTTAAGACCTTAAAGAAAGTCGTGACCGCCTAACGAGGCACATCGCTAGCGATCGCGTTTCCTTGCCGTCCGAAAGGGCACGAAGAAATCTGTGGACTTCGTCCAAGAGTCTCGTACGCTCATGGCCGCGATGGCAGCCGATCCTCTTTCTGAGGCGGTCACAATAACCGACTTTATGGAGGGCCTCTGCACTGGTGTGGCTAGAATGGAAGTCTTCCATGTGCACCCATTTTCTTTCAGAGCAGCAGTAAATGTGGCATTGAACGCCGAGCTCAACCTTAAGTCGGCGCGACTCGGTTGGAATGCACACTCTAGCAGCTCGTCGAGCGGGTTTGAGGCGATGAATCTCAGTTGTGCTGATGACGAGGAGGTAGAGCTCCGACTGCCGAGCAGCGTTCGAGCACCTGACGGTGTTATGTTTGTGGAGACACCTGTCACCCTCGGATTGGTTGTCCCTGCGCAAGGTTCATCAAACCAACGTCTACTTCTAGACAGTCTGGTTGTCGCGGGAACCGAGAGCACCCAGTGGACGCGGGCGCCCTACGGGTGAAGAACAGAGTTATGCTGAGCCTCAAGGAGGTAGGGGTCAGCAGGGCCCAACCGCAAAGAGCTCCAGGCTCTTGAACACGAAACGTGTATGCAAGGCAGGCTTGCTGGTCGTTGAAGTGACTGTGAAAGGCGTTGAAAAGCCATAGAAGATCCTGCTCGACGCTCCACAACGAAAGGAAGTCAACGGTTTGCTAAGACGCTGAAGGTACGGTTGAGTAACATCATCGCTATTTGCTTAGCGATAGGGACATGTGTCACGGTGCCGAAGGTCCCTGTGGACCTCAGCGTCAAGCTTCATGACCTTGATAGCGTGGAACGCTGCCTATCTTTAGACTTGGACTTAAGGTATTACCTAATCCTTGGTATTGCATGGCTGGAGCTCCATGAACAATAAATCGGCTGGAGGTCGAAGACCTTGGGCGCTACGCGCACGTCTTCTGGTGGCGCGTTGGTGAGTCATGAACCGCTTGGAAGCAGAAGCGCTATTGGCTTGGGCACTAGAGAAAGCCCAGTAGGCGCGGGACGCCTAACAGGGGAAGAACTGAGTTATGTTGAGTCTCATTGAGCTAGAGAGCAGCAGGGCAAGTCTCGCCATTCGACACTTACGTTTTGTGATTGGAAGC